CCGCCCACTACAACTAAGACTATACAGCTCCTAACTGAAATTTTCTCACGGAATGGCATACCAGATGTGATCGTATCCGACAATGGCTCTCAATTCACCTCTTCCCAATTCCAGAATTTCTGTCAACGGCTAGCCATTAAACACTTACGCTCGCCACCATACCACCCGCAATCGAATGGGCAGGCGGAAAGGTTTGTGGATACGTTTAAAAGAGCACTGCTCAAGTCAAAAGGGGAGGGGACGCCAGCCGAAACGTTACAAAATTTCTTGTACGTCTATCGGACAACACCAAATGAATTGTTACCGGAGCAAAAGTCCCCAGCTGAAATCCTGATGGGAAGAAGATTGAAAACGATCCACAGCCTGATGCATCCGACCAATGCACCCTCATCAGTAGAGACAAAGCAGCAAAGACAATCCGCTTACGAAGTAGGATGCCCTGTGTTTGCCCGCGACTACAGAACGAACCATGGTCCTTGGGTAGAAGCGAGAGTGGTCAGAAGGGTTGGTCGAGTTATGTACGAAGTAGAGGTAGGAGGTGATAAATGGTCACGTCATCGCAATCAGATACGCAGACGGCTAGCCCCAGATCGCCCATCAAGAGCAGAAAGCCTTCACCTTGACATCTTGCTTGATACCTTCAACCTACCGAGAGCCCCGCCACGAGAAGAAACTCAGCAGCCAGCTGTTCTTCGTTCCCGAAGGTATCCCCTCAGACAGCGGCGAACAATAGTCAAGATGCAAGTCGACCCCAGGAGAACAAGCTATTAAAAAGGGGAGGAGTGTTGGGGATGTTAGATCCCCAAAATTCGCATGATAATGCCGTATTTTGGTTTTTACGTTTCGCCAGCAGGGGCTGATCAAATGACCTTGAGATTTCAATTCCCACCAGGAAAATCAATGGCTGTGATTGGCTACAGTGTATTTTAGTATGCTATTTTCTTAACTGTCTCAAGGACGTTGTTATGTTGTATAAATAAACGAGAGTTGTATGCTTGATTGTACTGGGATTGCTGGGTGCTTGTAGAATATACTTTCTACGCTTACCAAGACTTCTGTTTTACCGTTTGGATTCAAGGTAGCCTTCCTGGAAGCTGGTAAAAGCATCGTTCGCGTTTATCGACTAAGGTAAACTCGTAATAGCATCAAGCATACTACTAAGTGCCGAACATATCAGGTGTCAATCACATCCAAAGTCAAGGGCGGCTTGGTCTGCTGATCTGAACGTGAGACCGGATTCTCATCCTTAGATGGTGCATATGACGAATGCTGTTGACTAGGATGTGAGAATGAGGTCTCTGATTTATCCAGCGTGGGATCCGAAGTAGCCTTAAGGATCCCTCTGGTAGCTTTGATAGGTCCAGCAATGGGTCTCGGATTAGCAAGTAGGGAACTGTCATTGACATGTGCTGGCTTGAGACGATCAGTGCTGACTACCATGACGCGGCGATGTCGAGCAACCTTGAAGGTCTTTTCGGAACGGTAAATCACGTGAAAAGGTCCTTCGTAAGGTTGTTGCAGAGGTTTGCGTACCGAATCGACTGAAATGAAAATATGCGAACAGGTAGATAACTCTCTCTCGAGAGCGACCAGGCGTTGCTGTATTGGAGTTGACATCGAAGGCAGTGTTCCCATGAATTCAGACGATCGTTGGATGCAGTCTGATTTGCAAAAATCGTTACTGCTGCGTGATGTGGGAAAATTCCCCAATCAGACGCATTGTTGTGCTACAGACAAGTTCATAGATACAACATTGAATATCTGCCCTTAAGCTCGTTCCGATAACCAAATGGACGACTGTAAGGTTCTATAACAGTTTTTGTTTTCGTGAGCCCAAAGAGCGTTTTTAAGTTGGCGATGAAACCGTTCAACTAAATTATTTGTAGCCGGGTGGTAGGCGGTAGTGCGTATGCTCTCCGTACTAAACAGCCGGGTTAGCAAGGAGAATAACTCGGACTCTAATTGTTGTCCCCGGTCAGTTGTGACAGTCGAGGGACAACCGTACTACGATATCCACCGTTCTACGAAGCGGTGAGCAACTGTCTGACCCGTAATAGAAGTGATAGGAATAGCTTCGTGAGTATGTGATCAAAACTATGCGATGGTGGCAATGGTCCTACAATGTCGACATTAACATGATCGAAGCGAGCATCGGGAGTAGCGAATGTGCCGATGGGGGCAGCGCATCAGCAACATAGTTCGACTTGCCTTTGATATTACGAAGGTCTGTCGTGAAGTGAGATATATAGTCCAAATGTCTGCACTCTTGTGGTGAGTAGCGGTCGGACTTTGTATGCAAAGCATACGTTAGAGGCTTATGGTCGGTGGAAAGGATAAAGTTACGACCTTCAACTGAGTGCCGGATATGTTTGATGGCACACTGGGCTACTAGCAGTTCGCGACCAGAATAGCTATATCTCGTCTCAGTGGGAGTAAGGCGTCGTGAGAAAAATTGGAGAGGCTGCCAACTTCCAGAAATGTTCTGTTGCACAACGGCTCCTACAGCAAAATCTGATGCATCAACCGCTATACTAAGGGTGGATGATGGGTCAGGATGGGCGAGAAGCGTGACTCTAGCGAAAGCTTTTTTAGTCTCTAAAACTGCGTTACGCGCGGCGTCGTTCAATGCTAGTTTACGTGGATTACCGCGAAGTAAGTCGGTTAACGGTCGTAACGGTTCTGCCGCGTAAGAAATAAAACGTCGTTAGAATTTAGTCAAACCGAGAGAAGCCTTCAGTTCCTTGAGTGAGGACGGTACAGTCTACTCCATGATGGTACGTACTTTATCTTCACAAGGTAGAATACCCTCATGCCTACTGATGTGACCCAAGAATTTTATTTCTGCCTTGCCCAGTTCACACTTGTCTGGGTTAACTACTTTGCCATTATCTGAAAAGCGTTGGAATAAGAGCGTAAGATGTTGATAATGTTCATCTACGTTTGATGATGCAAGTAGCAGATCATCAATATGGACATGAACAAAAGCAAAGTCTCGTACTCTGCTATCGATAAACGTTGGGAAAGTTTGAGCAACAATCCGTAATCCAAATGGCATCAGTAGGAACTCAAATGAACCGAAAGGAGTCATGATATCAGTTTTCTCAATATCTTCAAGAGCAACTGGGACGATGGGTGACCATGTGGTGTACCACATGATGAGTCACCGATAGATTCTCCTCGAGTGGTTTAGTTAGCTGCTGAAATTTTTCGAGTAAAGCGTGGAAAATTTCATCACGCGAATGAAAAACCCCTGTACTATGGTACGCACCTGTTTGAGCTCGAAAGCCCATAAATTAGCTGTTCGATGAAGTACCGATTCGCTGCAGCCTACGTGAATTGACTAGCAATTCATAGTAATGTGGGAAATCGATACCGAGTATGGCTGTGGGAACATCAGCATCGATGAACGTTCATACCTACTGTCGTCGGTTGCTCAGGTTGATCGCCAGCTGTCGTGTACCAGAAGTTGGAATAACAGAGCCATTCGCAACGCGTAGTCGAAGCATTGAAGCTTGAAACTTGCTGCTACCGAGTGGTACGAAAGAAAGTTGGGCACCTGAGTCAACGAGGTACCTAGCGTTAGTACGGATCTCGTGAATGTAAAATAGGCGGCCAACCTGAGGTGGGGAACCGACGAGTATGGTCGCGTCTACTCGTTGGCTTTGAAGTTTCCTGCCTTGTATGGGAAAGGGGGTCGACAATAACGGGCGCCAGACCTAAAAGTCTGATGGAAGCAACACCGGCCGGTGCTCGTTTCCGAAGCCTCCTTTTGGCGTGGCTTGGAAGATGCCGGCTGAGGGCTCGTAGGACGTGAGTTCAGGAACAGAAGAACGGTTTCGGAAATTGAGACGGTTGTGAATACAGCAACCCTGGTCTCGTTGAGCCTGAGTTTGATTAGCTTCGAGGTCCACGTTGGCTTGTGTCGCAGAGGCAACTATGCGGTTGTTTCGAGAGCTAATACGAGCTATTATCTTAGCTGCTATGATGACAGCCTCGTTAACTGGCGTATTCTCGAGCAGAACAGTAGTCGTTGGCTGTAAGTGGGCTGGTAAGTCTTCCAGCCTTAATTCTCTATGTCAGAGTCAGATGCCGTTTGTCCTGCCAATGACTGCAGGCGCGTGAGGTGGTAGCTTGGCTTAGCATCACCCAGGGGGCGACGTGCTAACTATGTCCTCAACCGTTCACCCCTCTGTTGGAAGAAATGTCTAAGAATCCCTTTTTTAGGACGATCATAGGCATCAAGAACTCTAAGAATGAGAAGGACTTCACAAACGGTATCTATGTGATCCTCAGGAAAGGGCTCAAGGGTGTAGGCAAACACATGCCGCTGGTTAGTGATGCGGCCGATCCAAAACTAAGATTCCGGTGCCGCAAACCAGACCTCTGGGTCGTGGGCAACAAACGCTACAGGCCGAAAATTGAGAACCTGTATCAGCCAAAAAATCCACACTTTTAGATTTATCTACCATTTTCTAACACCGTTGTAGTTGCTATATATATAAGAAAATAACGATATATCACACAACAGATAAAATAGTAGAAAAATCACAGACTCACCGAATTTAGGAGTACAATATAACAATTATTGTCAGAATTAAGTACAAAAATAAGTGTTTATATTTCAGCAAATGTGTTTGCTTCGTAAAAGTATACCACTGCACTATCCCATGTTGACCTCTTTAAACAAATAAACTTTACCCCTTATCTTAGAGTGCCGATTGATCTTATTTCGGCATTCTGTATCTTGAAAAACGATTAGGGTATTAGTATATCCTTTGTTTTTACTCTCTCAAAAACTAATAATATTCTTGGCCACTGTAAGAAGGTTCAAAATCCGCGATTAAATAAACTTGTGTTGGGATATCTTTCTTTTTTAGTTTGTTAATGACGTAATAGATACCTGAACAATCAATATTAATTACAAAATAAATCACTTTCAAGGAGAGGCTTGAGAACAAGATCCAAGGATTACCTACCATCCCTTTTATATTGAAGACTGTCGACTTTGCACATACATTGTCAATTGAGCAACTTTTTCGATCTCAGTTGTGCATAGTGCGCTACTTACGTACACGATGTCCAAGGCTACGGAGGAAGTAAAGGTTTCTAAGGGTATCCTGAAGAAATATAATGATCAAGCACCACAGAAGAGCTTTCAGTGGGATGAAACAAACATTCAAGCTACTTATCATCCACCGGATAAGACATATGGTCATATGAAAATTGACGAACCGAAAACACCTTACGTTTTTGACTCTGAAGATGGTTCTGTTGTTAATGCTGGACCTACTTTTACTCCAGAGGATTTGGCTTCTAGACTTTCTGCGGCTTCAAAGGATCCTGACCTACAGTGGGTAAGTTTCACATTTTTCTATCTGTATATCGTTTTAGGTTAACTAAAATATATTTCATACTACCACCCTGTGCCGCATTTCTCTAATATTTCCCTTAGTGCCCTTAAAATGCATTTGTTCTATGTTCTACTTATTTTATATCAGTATACTCGTAACCTGTCGGCGACAAATTTACTAATATTTCCCGTTTTTTCTAGAAACTTCACTTCTCAAATGTGTGCCGAATAGCACGTGATTATAGGACAGTTGGAGTAACAGTCTTTATTCAACTTTGTTCAGTTCATCCATACAATACGCTCACCCTTACCAGTTCGTATGTTACCAGTAACAACAGCAGTGTAGATACATCGATTTCGGAATCTAATACCATTCCAACTTTTTTCCAAACTACTGGGTTTACGAGGTCACTACCCTAGCTTAGTAGTTTTCTGGGGGTCCTCATCTTTGTCTTCGGCTGTTGTCCGTCTTAAAACCGTCCACTCACAAACCTCTGTGATTAGGGTCTTTTGGAAAGACGGTTTGTCATTTTTATCTTAGTTTTTGAATCGAAGTAGGTAAAGTTTCCAGTTTTCGTTGGGCCGTTGTCATTGCAGATACACAAGTAATAAATTATGAATTCTTCAGATTTCCTCACGAATTAGAAACCGGTCAGGTTATGAAGACGTGAGAACTACGAATGAATCATAGAAAACATATGGGTCCTTGCCATTTCGACGTATTAGACCATACAGCTTCTTGTTACTAATAATCTCAAGAACCGTAAGCATGATGTCTGCATATGTGTACACAACTTAGTTCAACAGTTAGTCAGTTCATACATTTGGGGAATATCATTTGCTTTTTCCCAATCCTATCCTATTTTAGTGAATCGACACCGTTAACCTAGTGCAGATTCATACCTCCTGAAAACCCCAGCGTTTTCACTGTTCACATTTCACATTGTAAGCAATTGCTGTTTTATCATCGTTAATTCATTAACAAGAATAGTCACATTAATTTGTGTTCCTGAATGTACAATAGTAATATAAAACCAGTGTAATGGGACTGAAGTAATAGAAGCATGGTTAACAGGCAAAAAATTAAAGGGAAATTATAAGGAAGCACGCTTAAAGCCTTCGAATTAGTCATACAACTGAAAAGAAGTTAATATAATTAAAGTAGTGTATTAGATAGTCATATCCGTTATATCTTGTATTCGGAAATCACTAAGCATATATGAAAACCTAATATATCTGTATTCAATACCAAAGCAACGTTTCACTTGGGAGGGAATGAGTGAAATATGTTATGAATAAATTTTCCCTTTTCCGTCTGAAATTGAATCTCACAAACGCTGTTTACAATTTATATAAGTAGTGAATCTATTTACCTTTTCTGTCGTGTTTATGCGTAAAGTTTACCTAATACCAGTATATAAGCTGGTTTGGTACTTTCCTGCGAACGTCTCGTAACATTTACCACCATATAACGGATTGGTAGGCGCTTAATAGTACGGTGAAGTTGAAGTGACGTTGATCCGAAAAAAATGTATTGGCTCTGTTTGTTTGGAACATTTTAATCACACATACTTGTCAAGTGTTCGTAAGAACTAGTGGTCAATTAAATAATCAATAAGGATCTAACATTAAAAAGGTATGTAATGTAGTGACTTACCCTTTTTTTATTTATTTATAAGAATGACCACCATGATCTACTAAAAATTGTTGCACAGTGGTTCCTATTCTTGTATGAAACGTAAAATAAAACCTTTAATATCCTTGTCGTATGTATTTAGATAAGTAGGACTAAGTTTGATTACAGAACGTTGAGATTAGTGCGCATCTTAGTATTAATTTGTCCAATCACAAATATAAGTACAAATTTGCACCATCAATAAGTACGTGACGCAAATGAACGAAGAGATGGGAGTGAATAATTAGTGGCTACAGAATGTCCGAATGATCTTTTAAACAGAACCACTTGAATCAGAACGTAGTTATGGTGTACATCGTTGCATTATTATATTGTTTTGTTTAAGTTATTTGCAAGAAATAGTTTTAATGACATGTATATCCCTCAATTCCTAATTTTGGGGCGGCCAAGCCAAAACATGGCACAAATATATGAAGTCACTGACAACTGGACTGAGCCATGTTGGTATGTGTCGACCACCTGGTTGGAGCCCGCAAGATGATAGTAACCGATGGTTAGAGACCTTGAATGACATGGCTCAAAACCGTTTGCAATTGCGCAGGTGCATTCATTCTTTGTGTTCTCTCAAATCGTAGCCTTCAGAGATCTTCATCACCTTTATCTTTTTCTCTTAAGTTTATTTTAATAGATTCTACTTCTTGAATAATATCGTCGAACCCTAAAATTTCCGATTGCATCTAATACTTCTACTACCTCTACAACCATGGGATTCGAAGTGACAATTGCATTTCTGTGCTAATGTGGTATGGCAACTTGAACTGATGTATGTACGCACGAAGTTCTATGTTGTTGTTGACTTATTCCTAATTTAACCGTTTTGATTTCAGCCATGTGCCACAAAACTCGACCAAGAGGAGGATGAGAATCAGAGAAAATTTCGTGAAAAACGAAAACAACATTACAATGAATTTTTGGCTGTAAAGCTAGCGAAAGAAAGTTTACAAAATGATGACGAAGAGGAAAATATTAAGAAGGAAGACGAAGAAAAAGATGATGAAGTTGAACATAACGTTGAGCAGGCAATAATCAATGCACGCTTAAATGCTGAGCTTTCTCGTTTAGGTAGAGACACAGAGCATCCAATCCCTCATATTTCGAAAAATCAGAGTTCTTCAAATTCTAATCTCTGAGTTTTTTAATTCTTTCCTCCTTACTATGTACAGATATTCCTCTCTACTTAGTTCACTCAGTTTCGGCCATTTCATGTTATGGTAACAATCCATACTACAATTATTTGTGTCCTTTTATTGGACAGTGTCCATACACTGTCTTGGAACTTATCTGTAATAAGCTATCACCACGCAGTTCGACAGATAAATTCAAAATGTCCATAATTCTTTGAATACGAAATCATAAACCATCCCTACATTGCAAAACAAACCATTATAACAGCTAATTACATTTGATTTTTTCAAACTAAGAACGTTTTGTTTTGAAATATTTCGGATTTCTACCTTAAAAGGCAATGGTTTGACATACTTCTGTGGAACAGAAAGATGTACCATCGACGTGAATAACTTAGTCCTACACTCCCGTTGAATAAGTGTTCGTCTTCAAGTTTATAAACGTCTTGCGGGTACAGTCGTTTAGTGGCCCGAGATTTAACTCCCATCTGAATGAATAAATGATAAGCCTTCTGTTTAGTTCTGTATATTACATCTAGACCAGCTCCATTTGAACGACGGTGGTAGTAAAAAGCCAAATAAAGATCTAGATGACCGAACTTGTTTCAGATGCTCGTTCATTCAGAAAGATGTCGAGATTAGCACTAGGGAACGCCGACGTCCCAACTCAGTTAAAATATAAGGCGTGTCATTATTTATAGTCATGATATATAAGCAAAGACGTAGGTACATACGACCATATACTCGTGCCCAAGGTCACGTATATTACTGACAAAGTGATTGGGAAGATTAGAATGATTCACGTGCCCAAAAATAAGAATAAATCGTGTGACGGTGCTAGTTTCTACAAGCGTATTCTACATCGAATATCAAATCAACTATAGTTTATATTGTCATTAGGTTCGTTCTCTACACTAAAAGCTTTTATCGTATAAAGAAAGAAAACTAATTTTACACTCTTGATCCAAATAGCTGAACTGAGTTCCAAACCTACTTTATCGTATACGTATATGAACCAGTCAATCCTCCAAACCTAACACTCAATGCGAAAGTTAGACGATATGGTTATATATGACTAGGAATATATCACCCAGTCTCCTTCAACAAATGTTTTTGAACATATATTGTCAACCGCTTTATTCAATATCACTTCCTTAATTACAGTAAGAATTCAACCCAAAATATGGATTATCGCATGAATACGTGTCGTACATCTATCTTAGCTGTAACAAATGAAATGCTGCAGATTGCCTGATAAACATCACCCACAAAAGTATCGATCCAGTTTCGCTCTTTCAACAATCTTTACCGTCGTACTAAACATATTTGATCTAGGAGTAATTATTTAGCAGATACCCGTTTCTATAGAGGGCGGTGAGGAAACGTACTGATGTTTCTACTTGAATTTTACGATATTAAGTTTCTGGCAAGATTGTAAGGCTTTTGAAAATGCCCATGAGTACATATATGCAAATTAGAAATATATTCTATCAGGTGACACTATATAATGTAGCTAGCTGCAGTATTTGCGTAGTTAGAAAATGTGCGACGGACAGCTTTAATCAAGAGCATAAATTAGTGGTCCATTTAAACTCTACAAATTATTTAATTCATCAGACTGTGGAAATAAATATTTTATCGAAAGTTCACAATAATGTTGAGCTAAATGGACGATAATATCGAAAATATTCAGAGAAAATTCATACCAAAATTTCAATGATATTATAAACTGGGAACTCGATGGGTGGTATTGAGGAAGTATCTACATTTATTCTTGTAACGGATTATTGTTACTTTTACTAATTTACTGGTTACATGTTTATGTGCTCGGGTTTGAGTCGCACTTAGTTTTGTGAAGACTAGTGCTGCTCGGCCGCATTAATCAATGTTTATGGGTTTTAGTTTGGACCTGAGAACTAACGATCAAAAACTGGATATTTCAAACACTAAATCACCTTCCCACCAACATGAATTGTCTTAGAATTATGTACTAAATCGTATAGAAAATAAGGATGTTCGAACTATGCACTAACGTTTTCTGGCCAGGGATAAGCCACAAAGTATGATCATCCATGGGAACTCTTTTATTCCTATTCGTTTCCTGATTTTAGGTATTTTCTAAAATCCCTGTCAAATCATTTCTCACATAGTATACAATAAAACTAAATCTTCAATATAATTCTAGGCATAAAATTCTTTACAACTATTTTGTTGCAGTTTGATTCCTCTCAACACGGCAATATAAGTGAATGATCTGTGAATTTTAATAGTTTTTGGCAAATAAGATATCCACTAATTAGAGGGCCGAAAACCCAGTTCTGCTCACAATCATGAAGGTCAACAAGATAGGCTACTAGTTTATTCATTCTGTTTTGCATGTTCTATTAGCAGCACGAAGCATGCTCTTTTCAAACGTACATCTGACCAATACCCTGCATGACTATCTAAGGTGAATACAAATTTACCAATAGTTCAATAACTTTATCCGACTGAAGCTGCTACATTAACGTGGTGGTCGGGCTTGCCTATCGTGATGACCCAACCGAGCTATATTGGCTGGAACATATGTTCCTGTACGTTCTACCACGCCAGGCAGGTCGATTGCAGAACGATGAGACTAAAAGCAGCTACTCAACGTCTGAGTGTGAAGTCGCACTGCTGACTGCAGAGGGGTGTGACAGCAGTAAGGTGTTTCCCTCGGAAACGAGCATCTGCGGCGATGCCACCTCCTCACAAGTAAAGAAGGGTTAGAAAAGGTCGACCCTAAAAATGTCACACCTCATCCTACCTCACGGATTCCCGTCTCCGGCGGTAAGAACTGTCAAATAAGGGCCTTTAAGAGCGGACCCAATACTCAAAAAACATTTCATAAAAAGGCTGTGCGTGAACGGCTTCAAACAGTTGTCCCCTGGACTCTGCGGTCACGCTCCCAGGTTTCTAATCCGCTTTCCTTTTCAGGTTCCTCAAGAAACACCCTTCCACGGTGTGGGCAGCCGGGAAGTGACAACCGCCTTCATACCCATAACAGCACGCGAGACCAAATTGCTCATAATCGAATCCTTCCTACACCCCCTAACATCTCTCTTATCTCTACGATTAACTCACATTCTTTAATCACACTGCACCGCTGATCCAAACGATGCGATTCCACGAAACGTTTTCCGTGGTCTCCTAAAACCTCATTTTAAATCACATGTTGGAGTATTTAATGTCTGGACATTGTGTCAAATAGGGAAACAGGCTTCCTTAGCTAGGACATTATAATCTCGCTCAATCGATGTATGCTGTGTCTCGGAAACGCGCATACATCCTAGTAAAACTATCAATCTGATTTCACCTTGTCAAAATAAAGAAGCAGCTCGATTTACTCTTCGTGTATCTGGAAGCCCTGATACTGCTTCCCGGGGTCTCGCTGGCGTAGGTATAGCATTGAGTCTTAGAGCTGAACAATATCTCCTAGACTGGATCCCAGTAGATAGTCGATTGTGCGCTGTCCGACTGAAAGGGACAATAAGGATTCGGAAAGATAGGGACACCGGTCGTTGCCTCTTTGACGTATCTGACTACGCTCCCACTGACTGCAGTTCTGATGAGGCTAAAGATGAGTTCTACAGAAATCTTTCGGACCTCCACCGAAAAGCTAGGCGCTCTGACATAGTAATAATGGCTGGTGACTTCAATGCTCAAGTAGGTAGACTAAGTGAAAATGAAAGTCACCTGGGAGGATCTTATGTTGTCGCGGCTCAGAAAACAGACAATGGCGACCGTCTGTTGCAAGTATGCTCAGATAACCGCCTAGTTCTAGCAAACACTAAATTTAGGCATAAGGAAAAGCATCTGGCGACCTCTAAAGTCGTCTCAACGTTGGACGCAACTAGATCACATCGCCATCAGCCACCGATGGAAGGGTTCGATAGAGGAGTGTCGCTCGTTCTGGGGCACATGTTTAGATTCAGATCATTCCATAGTGCGAGCGTGTATTTGTTTGAGGCTTACTGGATGAAGGAAAGACACCGTAAGGAAGCCTCTTATGGTTTTACCTAATGATAGCATAGCTAAGAACATATTTCAGGAACAACTCGAAAAATAGTTAGGCGACCATGTGAGCGATTCGCATCCGGAGGCAGGCTGCAATGATATCAAAAAGGCTGTGGAAACAACAGTGATATCTGCTAGTAAGGTTAACCATAAGGCTATAATGAAGCTGTGGATCTCAGTAGCATCCACCGAACTGATGGATGCTTGAAAACTCGTGCCACCTGACTCTGAACATGATGAAGAACGAAGTCAGCTTAAGCGCAGGCTGATAAAAAGCCTACGTGACGACCGTGAACAGTGGTGGGTGGCGAAAGCGATGGGAAAGGCAGCGGCGACTGGCAACACCAGATAGTTGTTCTGCCTAATCAAGGAAAGCGGTATTAGGGATCCGAATGGGAGTGAGACTATCTCGGAAAAGGACGGGACTATTATTCACTCTCAACCAGGGAGATTGGGTCGATCGGTACAACACTTCAGGAACCAGTCCAACTAGCCTTCAGCCACATATTAGTTACCCACGATATCCAGTCATCCCGAATGGCAAATCGATTTAAGTCCTCCGAATCTTAATGAAGTTGAAAAGCGATAGGAAATCTGAAGCGAGGGAAGGCAGCAGGACCCGATAGATTGACGCCTGAGATTTTTAAGGACGGTGGTCTAGTTTTAGCAGTCAGAGTGAGTGAGATCTTAGTTAGAATCTGGGAACTAGGCGTAATACCATCTAACTGGTCTCAATCACTGATTGTCCCAATTTATAGGAAAGGACAAAAGTCTTCTTGTGACAATCACAGGGGACTAAGTCTAACTAATATTTCTATATTGTTAGCCTCGATAATCCTTAGACGCGTAACTCATGAAGAGCAGACTGGAGAAAACCAGGCTGGTTTTCGACCTGGACGTGGTTGTATAGACCACATCTTCACACTACGACAGGTCCTGGAACACAGACACAAATTTAGGCGTCCAACAACAGTTGTCTTCGTGGAGCGTAGGACGGCATTTGACTCTGTGAATCGTGAGGTTCTGTGGCAGTGTCTTTCATTGAAAGGTGTAACAAAGAAATACATTAACTTTATACAAGCTCTCTACTCCAAAACTACTACTTATGGCGAACTGTCATCGGAATTCTCTACATCAAGTGGTGTCCGTCAGGGATGTCCACTTTCCCCATTCTTGTTTAATTTTGTCATAGACATGCTGCTAAACATAACATTATCTTCGTCCGACTTTTGAGGAGTCGACTTTCGACCAGAAAAATCAC